GCCAAGAATAAATTGCCTGTCTGTAGTCATTTGAATGCAACATTTAGCTGTGATTTATGTGAAAGGCAGAAAAGCATTATGAGAAAACATTTTCCAAGTGCAACAGCTTGCAGCAATTTACATTATATGGAGGGAAAACCGCTGAAACAAATATTTGACCGGACTCCCATAATGAAATGGATATATTTATACACACTGAATTGAGTCAAAGGCTGAGCAGCGAAGGCACGGCCTCACCAAAGGACTAATCTGCGTTCCTGTAGTAAACATTTTACTGATGCTTCAGGGGCCTCAAATGAAAGTTATTAGAGCCAAAATCCTTCCAGCGGGCCAGGAGATGGAAAGATACTCTACACGAGGACGGAGACGATACGGCAGCAAGAAATCCACGCTGTTGTTTCTATCTGAGACAGGAAAAGATTTGGAGCTTCACTAATTTAATTTTCAGTCCTTTTTAGGTAGAATTATATTTGTTTTTTGCTGCTCTAATTACTGATGTTTTTATCCTTTCATGTCCCCTTTTTATTGTTGACAGTTCCAAGAAAAAAGGTGTGTATTTATTTTATTTTAAAATGAAATGTGTTATATGTTACATCCCCCCCCAAAAACTAACTAAATAAAATATTACTCAGCTTTGTTGTTCCTCTTTAAACTGATTGTTTTTGTTATATATTATTACAGTAAATTTATGTTTGCATATTAGCTTTCATCACAGGGAAATAGTAACTAATTTTATTTAATCAGTTACATTTACCTGAGTTACTTTTTCGGAAAAAAATGTACTTTATGGAATAGTTTTACTACACTGTATTTATTTATTTGTTTGTATATATATATAATATCCTACTGTATTCATTTCATAAATTTCATGAGAAAAAATAGACTCAGAAAATTGTTTGCTGGAATTCATTTGATTCGATTCGCATTATTTTTTTTCATTTTACACATTAAAAACACCAGAATTTGAACATTAACTTTTTATTTTTTGTCTGTCTGATGACATCATTTAAAAATATTAAATCAAATGTTATGATTAATTAGCCTTTTTACTCTTACTTGATTAATTTCTTCAATGTTTAATATTTACTTTTACTTGAGTAAAAATATGTTGAAGTGGTGCTACTCTGACTTGAGTACAACTTTGGGTACTCTACCCACTTCTGACCCTCATGTAGTTCTGAAGAAAAAATATTTTAAAAAACAGCGTTTAATCAAAACAATTTTGTGAACAAAACCCTGAAAACAACTAATATTATTTAGATGACATCAAATAATTAGAAATCTTATTTAGACCTTAACTACTATGAATGTTGTGTAAAATTAAGAAATCTAGGTATTCACAATGTTGCCATTTTAAAGTAGAAAATTGGATTTTTGACTACTAAATGTTGTTTTATGATATTTATTGTAGATAAATTCCTCTTTGACAGCAGCTTTAATGAAAAACATTTGAACTCAGACAAGACCTGTCTGCACGATCATATTACTTTAACAGATATAATATAACAAGTCATCTATACAGCTTATTGGATTTGTCACTTTTCAGTAGTAGAAATACAATATCAATATTTGGCTAAAGAAATTATTGTATTTTTTTATTGTGGTTTATTGTGGACTGCTGGAGAAAGACACCATCTCCACGGCAACCCTCCATAAAATGTATGGTAAATAAAATGGATGTTAGATGGAAAATGTGTTGTTTTTTATGAATTGACATATTATAAATTAAACTTGTGTCCAGCTGAACTTGGGTTGAATTATAGTTTACTTTTTTAATCACCCTGAGTTGTTTCTGTTGTTTATTAGAATTATTTAAATGAACTAAACTGTATCTTAGCCGAACTAAATTAATATTTTACTTTCCATCACTTATATTTTTGTTGATAAATCACTTTTGGGTGCTTCTCTTTCAAATATCAGTACTTATATTCAGATCATCTTCGATGTCTATGAATAAAACAAAACGACAATTTTCAAAAGACATGAAGTTTATTACGGATGGGATTTCTGAATATGTATAATTTTGTAAACTTTGTGTGAGTTTATCAGGTGGCAGCATGATCTGAGAGAAAAACCACCCTCTTGGGATGTTAGCTACCATTAAATTGAGGTCATTAGTCGTTATCTGTCCCATGGCTTCAGTGAGCTGGAATCAGAGTGAGGATAAATGTGTGTATTTCTTTTTGTATTTCTGCCTTTAAAAGCAGCTGATCATAAAAGCATTAATCACTTCAGTCTGTATTTACTGTCAAAGATCTGTGGAGGTACATTTTTATAACATTTACTTACAATTTCAATGTTTTCCACACAAGGAACCACAATTAATTTAAAAATAATAAAGTTTATTCATGTTTAAATAAACTCACTTGTCATGTAATCATTACATGTTACATGGCTTACATGTCTGTTTAAAAAAATCAATTGTTGCTTCTGTGTTTGACCCTCAAAATAAATAATAATAATTAATATTAAACACAATAACCAGTTCACCTGTTTGCAGGACATGATCAGGACACAGTAGCAGGAAAACTTGACCCTGAACAAACCAGGTGGATTTGGTTCTGTAGGTCAGTAAAACTAGGAAAACTGGAAACCTGGGATCAAGTCAAATTTATGATATACAGTATATTTTTTATTTTCTTTGTAAGAGTGAGCTTAAGGTGAATTAAGCTTTTCCGACATCTCTCTTGCACAAGGTTATGAGGAAACTTTTACCAAGGTATTTCTCATTACTTGTCAATATCTTGAGTGTGCGAAGTGAAAAGTGACACAATAAGTGAACGTTCAGACGAGTTCAAGTTGATTCATAAAAGACTGTGCAATCATTTTTTACACAAATTGAGCAGATCATGAGTTACACTTGATTGTGTTAGGAATAACCTATGACAAGCGTCAGAGTTAAATGAGATAAAATCCGCGTCCGAAATTCAATTCACATGAACTCAGATTACTTATATGGAACAGTAAAAGGTCAGTTCTGATGTTAAAAGCCAAACAATTTTACTGGCACTTTTAGCTTAAGTTTTGGCAAGTTAAGAACAAGGAAAGGAGGAAAGTAAGATTAGTATGTTACTACGACTTTTACTTTTGTCAAAGTGTGCGTCAACCGGAACTGCACGTCTTTTCAAAGCTCAGGTTCCACATGACACGTCACTCCAAACACAACAGCTTTTACCTGATGATGGCTTCTTAAGACACCCTCGGGATAGGAGCTGGCTCGCCTCCGATCAGTCAGGGAACTGATGTTGGCTCGCTTACCGGTCATTGGCAAACAGGTGTTTTTCCAGGTAACTTTCGTCTGTTTCAGTCCAAGCCAGAAAAATTCAAGCCAATTCCGGTTCCTCCTTCCAAAATAAAATCTCCCCTCGGGAGTTAAAAACACACTTAGAGGCTTGGCCTCGGGTTGAGACCACTGGCAGGCGTGCCGGATCCCTGGCTGTGAAGTTTTCCCTAATTAGCTCATGAGATCAGACTTTAAGCCAAACTGGGGTTTCTCCGGAGAGAATCCCAGCTGTCTTCCTAGGTTGGAATCAGGAAGAAGAGTGTGTCGCTCGAAACCGTCCGGGTTAGTAAAAGAAACGGATGAACTTTGGTTCTGCCCTCAGGCTTAGAGATGAGTCAGAGAAAGAAAGAAAAAGATTTGCCAGCCGGCGCCAGCCCAAGGTTAAAATTCTGTGGTTGTTCAACAACATGATATGATAACCTCTTTTCACCTTTCTTCTAATAGACTCTAAGACAGTGGTTCTTAATCTTAATCTTAATCTT